TACTCCAGACTTAAAAAGAAAGCAGCCACTTGAGGAAGCGATATACCAGAGTTTCCGAATTTACATTCTGAACGGTGCATGTGTTTTCTCTCTACTGAATAACAAAACGAAAAACGAATTCCATCGATTATGGATAACGATTTCTGGCGGTTAGAATTCTGGTGCCAAGCATGCCGTTTCCCGTGTTTTGTTTTACCAAGTAGCGCTCCCAAAGATGCCAACACCGCCACACGCCAGTCTCTCAATATATTTGTATTGTTTTTGTTCGTTTAGACTTTGTCATCTGCTCAATTTATCGTCCTACCACGGACGCAAATACTTGCATTAAATAAATCGTCTCACTATACTGTTTTTTTTTTTTTTTTCAGGGTTAAAATGACGGTGGAGGAATCTGATCCCTCCTTCGCTGGGTGTCTATTTACAGCGAATATTTGTTTTTACGTTTTACTTGTCTTGCTGTAACAAACCGCAGTGGTGCTTTACACTACCCGGATGTGAAGCCCAGGTCCGTATAAGAAATTCGACAGCTTGGTTTTTGAGGGGTATCAATAAGATGTCATGATAAATAAACAATCGCGTTTTTATTTCACCTTCATCTTTTAAGAGCTTCATTCGTCGTTAGCGACATAGGTTCAATCTGTAACCGTGTCCAATATATGATGCATTTTATAGCCTGCGAGACATTTCTCCACATCCCTTTTCTGGTGAGGGGAAGCACCCTTCTAGGAGCGTCTCATAATGCGGTGAGTGAAGTCGAATCGACAATGGGGGCCAATTTGTGGCCCCTTGTTTCGTTACTTTGGTACAGGCTTGTATGCACGTTCCTACGCAAAACAAAATAAAGCCGCATTCCGGGTTCCGAGAGTTATCACAATGCTGCGTAGGAATTTATACTCATGAAGAAAGGGAGGAGCGAAGAAGAAAGCATTCTGTATCCCTCGGCGGTAAAAAATCATTGTGTTAGGAAAATATTCTAAGCTTAGGTTCGTTTTGCACTGCCTTCGCAGCAGCGTAAGCATTGTGGCTCGTTCTTCCGTAAGAAAATGAAAGGATTAAGTCGCACCTTCACAACCGCTTTTAAACCTAAAAGTATTCATGAAAGAGGTAGAGATGCGCCTGCAATAGGAATAAGTTTCGTTGAAGAGGCGCTATAATTCAATTATAAATAAAGAATAGTGAAAGCAAAAAAGAGAAACGAGCGAAGAACATACATTGGGAGAATAAGCAGTCATTTGGCTGATCGAACGTTGAAATCAAACACCAGACGGGAGTCTTACGTAATGACCTTCGCTTAAATCTAAAGTTGATTGCATAACGAGAACAACAAGAAGGAGGTGGGGATGTTGGTTGAATTTAACGTGGGACGTGTTTCTGAACACAAGTGGAGAAAGAAGATCAATCCGGAGCACCACGGTCAATGATCGCATCTGAGTCTGCCGTGTATCGTGCTTCGCTGTTGTCCATTGTTTCGTAATTACATATCTATATTTAAGTGTAGTTTAAAAAAACACGAAGTATATTTGCGGAGTTTGTCTTACATTTGTATCACACCTAAATCTAAACAATAAAAAAACGAAAACACAGTCGGGTGCCGTCACGTAACATATTTTTGTAAAACAAAATGGAATACATTATTGAACTGATAGAAAATACTTACGAGTGAGTTTCACAATGGATATACTTCAATGTATTGTTTAAAATATCTTAATCATAAAGTGATATTTTAGATAGATATCCACGAAGCCTCTAAAAATAGTGCCCGAAGATGATTCAAAAGAAAAAGAGGAAATTTCGCATTATTGACTTTCTTTGACATGACCGTCGTAGTGCCTGAGTCTTAATTTAGATACATATTTTATTAACGACTATAGAGCTGAAGTGTACAATGGCAGTGCAAGCATTCCATTGTGTTTATCTCACTTATAATATACGGGTCTCACGGACCTTGACTTGCAGGCGCATATCTAACTTAGTCACGAAGATGCTTAGGCTTAAGAGTGTTTGTGAGAGTGCCACGTTTAAACCACTCAATTTCCGAAGGAAGAGTACGTCACACGGCTTACAGTGCAGCAATGACAGCGCGAAACGGACCCAAGCCAAAAATAGTTTGCAAACACGATTATCTCTTTCACGCCGAGTAATATATATGCTGTCTCCTATGCCTTTCGTCAGAGGTATACATTGTTACGCAGAATTGTAACAACGCCCAGAACGCGGGGAGCGGTTTTATTTTGTTGTTGGATAGGAACGCGTTTTCAAAATGGTGCCAAAGTCATAAAGCGAAGAGCCCCAAGTCTGCCCGCATTGCCGATTTCGACTTGACTTACAGCATCCCGAGATGCTCCTAGAAGGGTGCTTCCCCCCGTCAAGAGGGTGGTAGTGGAGAAGCCCATCGCGTGCTCCGAAATGCATCGCTCACTGGACTCACTGAGCAACTTAAACGTACAGGTGCCGTCAAAGTAAAACGGAGCGCCTGAGCGACGTCCAAACTGCATTGCCACGCTATCTGGTAGCGCCGGCTGGAACTGATAGGCTACATCTGCGCATGCGAACGTGCCTTCCGCTGGGGCCTCCGTTTTCTTCTTCCAACCCACACGTTATCGGTGGTTCGAGCGGCGCAACAATCTTTCTAAAATCGACGCCTGATAGCACAAGGGGCGGTGCTCATTGACAACACTGGCCCTTTCCCACTTGCAGTCAACGTTATCTCCGAGTGTGAGTCGAACACCTAGCGGTGTTTATCGGAACAGCGTTTGGCAGCTCGAGACGCCAATAATGCGCGGATCAAACAAGAAAACGAAGGACACCGCGAACGGCACGCGCGCATGCGCAGACGGCACCTATCAGTTCCAGCCGGCGCTGCTAGATAGCGCGGCGATGCAGTTCGGTCGCCGCTCCGGCGCTCCGTTTTACTTTGACGGGACCTGTACATACCGCTAAGAACGAATAAACCTCCTCAACGATGAAGCGGAAATTAAGAATGTCTTACCTTTTTATAACAACGTCTTTCCATCACATTCCAGCAACTAAGTTGTCAAACTCCTTATACTGAGCTGGTTTCGCTTTCTGAGGGGGTGAAAAACATCACAGAGATTTGGAAAAACTTAATATCTTCACCTCCTGCACTGTAGCCCTCGCCCCTTTCAAAGTGGCAATGATCATTATTGTGATAATTAACGTAAACTTTGATACAAAAAAAAATAATGTAACGGAAAGCACCATACAAGATGCATTACATTCGCTTGAGCGCTGAATTTCTTAAGCGTTTTTTTCTTATGCCGCGCTACATATTTAGATACAAATGTAAAAAAAAAGAACTAAACGCGATAAAAAAACTTTCATTTTTATTACTACTTTGCCATTTCTAATCAGGCGGTAATTTTCTGCACCTAATTGGTATTTTAATACAAAAAGACAGAAGCGAGCTAGCTTTAAAAGTACGCCAATGAAACATTTTATCATACAGAGCAAAGTTCTCAAACACGTGGCCGGGGGGCCACATACAGCCCGCTACCAGTAGGGCGCGGCCCGGGAGCAACCCGCATTTGTGCGCCCTCCTTTCAGTGTCTCGACGCCATATCGTCTGATGTCGTCGGTTCATTTTTGCTCGAAACGCCGCCGTATTCATATAAACCGTTTTCGTATGTTAGATTGTTCTGCTTTCTTTTCCGTTGTGTTTCGCCATTCTCGCTTCTCACCTTTTTCTCATCTCAATCACCTGTATGATAATCCCGCTACTACGCAGCAAGCACATACTCTTTGCTCAAGGGCGCACCTTGGTTGCACAAACTCGCGCTCAGGAAGAGCAACCACCAGGGATTTACAGCTAAGAGCCGGGGCTTCTATACATAAAAATGTTCAAGTAAAATACAAGAAGTTTGAGATATTTCCATAAAATCGACAAAATGTTTGGTTTTTTGACAACTTTACGAAAATATATGAAGATATTTTTTTCTCCTTTTCTGAGAAATGTAGAGCTTGATTAACTCTCGAACAAAGTGAGCGACAGGAAAATGGCAGTGAGTTTTTTTTCTTGTATTAAAAATGCTCGCGCATTGGGTGGGCAGGGTAATTTTAACTCGTGTCATAACTTGACGTGGGGACCCAATTTTGTCATATGAACAAATCCTAAAAAGCCAGAATTACCTCTGCAAAATGACGAGCTTAAAAGATAGTAAGTGCTCAAGGTACTTTCTAAAGAAAAAGTACCTGGAATGTAGTAGAGCCTCGGCTTCTTCGCAACCAGAAACTCCGTCATTTTTTCTCCAAAACATATCTCCCCGACAGTTGTGTGCCCCCTTTCATTTAGGGGGTGGGCTTACTTGACTCCACGCTCGAATGAGTTTCAGACCCTTGATATGAAATGTAATTTCTTTGGAGCAAAAAAAAAAAGTTCGTAACATGGGAAACATTTTTCTTTCAAGATACCATAGTCGGCCGTGCGGGACACCACGGAGAAATTGTACCGTAATACATCCTGAGCTATTTTATATTTTATAAGAGGGACTGTATATTTTAGCGTTCCGTGAGGAAATTTCCGCAAGGCGCAATAGCCGGCTGGATATATCTGAGGCGCTGGACTACCAATAAATTGTTTAATTCGAGTGAGTTTAAATCACGAGTTTATTTATTCGCACGGGAAAGGCAGATCACCGCAATGACTTCACAAATATAGGGGACGCTCCGTGACTTTGCGAGGGAATTTCAAACCGAAAGAAAGACTCTTTTAAGTTGTTTTTGTTGATCGGGTCGAATCCGGCTTACGAATCCGACCAGGTGTAACATAACGGCGGCGGGTGGGTGGGGGGGGGGGGGGGGGGTGGAGGGGGGGGGGGGGGGGTATAAACCTTGGCACCGTGTTTAAAATGGGCAATTATTTTTTTTTTTTTTTCATAATGATAGGAAACCTGCCTCAAGCAGTCTGGGGATTAGACCCTTGAAGTTCCCGATAGACGCGAAGGTCGTTTATTTTTGTGTGTGTGTGTGTTCGTGCCCCGCAGTGACGTCGGTCGAGGGCGACACCTTCAACGTGAGTCGAACCACACGTGATCACATGGGCGTGTACGTCTGCATCGCGTCCAATGGCGTGCCCCCGCCCGCCATGAAGAGGCTCAACCTGGAGGTCACATGTAAGCACATTCTGTCTCCCATCTTGCTCCTTGCGGTCACTGGACGCTTAAAAATCTAAGGGCGGGGTTTGTTGCCTTCTAGCTCCGTGATTGGTTCTTCGGCCTTTTTATCGACTCAAGCAGCAATCTGATTTCCTCTGGAGCGATAATTAGATGCCCGGGACTTGCCAAGCCGTGCGGTTCCTAAGCCGTCAGTGTTTATGAATATATAAACGTACGTTTAAAAATCAGTTGCAAACCAATAGTCGCTGTAATCTTAGGACTAAATATGCTGAGGCAGTACAACTGGATATCACCTGAGATTCCATCACCATGATTGATACTACTAAATCTTTAAATGCGAGGCAATAAACGCCTCTATAATAGTTCACGCTTTGCCTATTAATGCTGGTCATGCTACTCAAAAAACTAAATCTGAGGTGACTGTACGGCTCTACCCTATATAGCATGTGGCCAATAATATATCGATTGCATTGTGAACCATGATATACATATATGTTTTTAAAATTAAATTCGATCTTATTGAGATCCAAGCGAGGCGGCCTAATCTGAACGCGTCTTTGACGACGCTAACAAGAGTCGCTCTTAAATGTTGGCATGTGAAAAGAACAAGAAATCAAGAAAGCCTTGCATTGATGCAGCACTTCTTAACACAATGAAACAACGAGATAAGAACATAGAGTTATTGCAATAAACGCTAGAGGCTCAGCTGGCGCTAGTGTCTATGGGACTTCCGGTTGCGAATTGAAGCAGACAGCATACAGTCTACATTTCCAGCATCCCTGTGTATTCCTATGAGAAAACGCGCGTGAATTTTGTCTGTTTGCCGGAAAATAACATGAATAACTTTTGTAATTTCGGTTATACCGGAGAGTATGTATCTTTGTTGGTATTGTGAAAGTTAACTGCTTTAGTTACAACATTTTTCTTTACTACTGACCGATGTTAAACTTCGCTCTATCTCAGGCCCACACCTCTGTTGCAAGGAAGGTATTTAAAAACGAGCGTCGATTCTAAGCAAACTAACGATCGAAAGAAATGTAGAGTGTGTTCAAGGTTTGCTAGCATTTCAGTGGTGCATATATATTGCTAATATGCCCGTCCTGTCATTGGGTGAAAATGACTCCGTCGTGCTTCTTTACGATCGGTTAAAAAAAACATTCGAACGCCAGAAATAAAGCACGTGAGCTACGAAAGGTGTGTCTTTTTATTATTTCCTATGTCGGGCCGTTTTTATCGGGCACCTGCTCTCTGGCTCCCCCTATTTGCAAAGATTTGGAGCGTGCAGGTGATGATTTGAACCCAGAACAAGCATCTTCGCACATATTCATGAGCAGAAAGAATAAAGCAGTACTTAATTATTGCAAATCTGACTATATTACGTGGCTTTAAATTCATTTTGATCGTCTGCATGCTCAAGGAGTTACTTATCCAGTGTTACTGCGTAGTTCTTGCCGTCTCTCTTTGTTTTCCACATCTCCTTCGTTCGTTTGGCACGTATATCCCCCATGCTGCAAAGCGTCGACGCCGTGTTCGCGCTAACGGTGTCCGACAGTGCACATGAATACACGTTCGAAGCGGTTTTAGCACCGTTCTTCATGCCACGAATTTCAAAAAATATATGCGCTGTAACTGACCAATTATTTTGTTTGCGTGACTGAGAAATGTTCCAATGCGCCTAGTACGTGCAAATTATTCGTGATTGTTGCTCTTATAATCGAGCGCAGAGAGAAAATGCACTCGGTTTTTCCCATAAAAATGCATTACCGGAAGTCAATTTGTGCCTGCTTGCTGTCTACTTCAAAATGCAACAGCACACTAGCGCCACCTGAAGCTCTAGCGTTTATTGTAATAACTCTATGGATAAGAACTTTGCCTTTTGTATTAAACAAAACACCCGGATTATCCAAATGAATTTAAAAAGAGCAGGAATGACTAGGCTTTGATAATAAACAAGCATGAAGCGTGTATCACGAAGATAAGTTCGTATATCTTTATTAGAAACCGAGAAAAATGTGAAGAAAGTAGATATCCTAGTGTCTAAAAAAAACGTCTGAGCTAATAATTGAAGGCATCTTCCATACAGGGGCTAAGCTTGCTGATAAATTTAATGCCATCTTTTTTATGTCCTGTGCTGCTTCTGGCAGTGCCACTGGTAGTTATAATTGCGAATCTACATCACACCGGGTATTAAGAGTTCAATATGTTTTTTCCTGCTACTGAAACCGAAATGTACAGCCTCATGCATAAACTAAAGAATAATTAACAGTGCTTGTGGTGGAGATGGTATAAATGCCCAGCCTATAAAATCAGTTGCTCACCTAATTAGTGGGCCATTCTCACATATCTTAATGTAGTTGTGAGTACCGGCATATTTCATGATGAATTAAAGAAAGCAAGAGTGTCAGTGAGTCATAAAGGAGGTGATAAAAATAACCCATGACAACTACGGATCAATCTCTGGTCGCCCCATTTATTCTAAACTTATAAAAAAATATATTAATGTGTGTCTAATAAATTTTTCTTCTTAACAAAATAACATTCCAGCGCAGCAACAATACGGCTCTCAGACACGAAAATCGTCTGAATTGGCGCTGCTAAACTTCAAAATAACGAAATTTACAATTTTGAGCAGAAGTTATTGAAGTCAATAAACACAGGTGTGTTTCTTGGCTTCAGAAAAGCTTTTGATTCAATCAAACATAATATTATGATGGGAAAAAGTTATCTTATATGAAATTAGGGGAATTACACTTAGTTTAATCAAAAGCTATCTATCAAATTGTTCTCAAATCTCTAAATAATAAATATCAAATACCAAAAACATAAAATACGATGTTCAAAAAGGGCCCATTCTCGGTCCGTCCATATTTTTAATTTACGTAAATGACATTATAAGAGTTCCTTGAAACACAGATACTATTTTATATGCCGATTACACAAATATATTTGCTTGTATTTTTTTTTTTTTTTTTTTTGAACAAGTCTAGATGTGCTTGACTTTGACTTGTCGATGAGTACCGAGGCAGAAGATCCGCGACAACAAAAACTTTTGATGAAAAAAAAAAAGTGAGTGTAGGAAGTGCGCGATGCAATGTATCCTAAAGCACGAGACACATGCTCGTCAAAACTCTCAGATCCGGCGTGCCAAAATGTCGGAAGGACGGTCAGAGGCTAGATGTTTCGTCACACCAGAGCGTCCGGCTTCGGTACGCGACCTACTGGCCAGATATTTGCCGCACCATCCTCGACTGTCGGAGGGCCGCAGCTAATGGCAGCGCGGGACGGCGTGAACGTCATGCTGTTACCTAAATTAAATAGGCCAAGTTGGAAGAGCAGAACCGGGCAGACGGATGTAAGCGGTGCGTCACGCGAGTCGTCGTCGTGAAGTAAAGGCACGGACGCCATCGTAGAGTTTTGCCGAGAGCACTAATCGAGCTGCTGCTTTCGCGCGTCCATTGCGAGCCGGCCTTTTGGGACCAATGAATACCTTCGAAACCTGAATATACTCCGTTTCACCTTACGATGGCCAGCAGCGGACGCTTCGAGCCATTCCAACGGCATGTGAGTGTCAGGTGAACTTCGGGATGGACGCAGCAATGCGCGGGGTGCGCACTCCGCTGAGATAGCTCGTTAGGCCCCCTGCGTTCCATTGTGATGAAGGGACTTTGAGCAAAAAAGTAACATCACGTAAAATCTTCAGACCTACACACTTTAATGGAATCTAATAAAACAAATTTTTTAAGTCTGAAAAGCCACGAAGAGAGGGGGATACTTTAACTTTCTAGGCTAGGTGGCGCAAGCTACCGCCAGTTTCAAATACAGTCATGAGTATCCATCCATCCATCCGGGAGAGGAATACCCGAAACAACGAGCTTCCGAAAACTTAGAGCTGTAAACCAACGGCCGAAAATGGCACCTGCCCCCCCCCCCCCCTCCCCCGGTTGCCGCCATCTTGACCGTTTGCCACATTAGAGGTCACGTGACTTTAAGATAGCTGCGCCCATAGGTGCGCCAAATCAGATTGGCCAGATTACGGTAAGCAGGGCCGCGATTCAAAATTTACTTGATCTCACTCTAGGGTAACTGTTCTGTACCTTGGCGTTCGACAACCTACCCGCGTCCAGTAGCTCTATCAGTCTTGTCACGTGTCATGATCCGCCGGAGTAACTCGGATCCATTCGGGTAAGATTGGAACGCAGCCTCAGAGGGCACCCCTGCTTGCCGTGATCTGGCCAACCTGATCTGGCCCATATCTGGGCGCAGCCATCTTGACTTCACGTGATCACTGTGGCAATCAGGCAAGATGGCGGCAACCGGGGGGGGGGGGGGGGGGGGTGCCATTTCCGCCGCAGGCCTTGGGTAGCGGTTTACCGTTCTAAGGTGATACTCGAGCTCGTTGACCCGAAACTGGGCGGAGCCAATACCACCCAAAAAAACACAAGGCCTGTGCGTTTCCCCCTCTAAACGTCATCACTGGTAGATCCCCTCAGCGCCCCCTAGCTAGCCCGGATGAGCAACATCGTCTGCTACATCGTCTGCTTCAGTGGTCGTGCTCAGAACGAGCTCACATTGCTAAGACCGGCAATTTCGATGATGTCGTATGCACGTTGCAAATGAACTCTGGTTGCTCGTTATCAGCTCGCGCTAAGCGCTCGCGCACGCAGCGGTGGCCGCCAGTAAAAGCGGCGTAGTTCCTTCGAAAACCCATGGGAGCGGCGGCGAACCCCTCTCTCGAACTCGGAGTCTATGTAAGCAGACACTTTGCGAGCCCCGTCTTGTGACCCCATCAGCTGGAACAATTCATTACGGCCAGTCCGCTTGCGAAGCGGAATCCACTGATCGCAACTGCAACGGCAATCAAATAACGATGCGCGCATAAACGAAGATAGAGCAGTCTATTTAGCGGTCTCAAACGCCACTCAGGTGAACACACGAGATTGTAGCGCATCTGGGAAGCGAAAGAAAGGCGTTTAGCTGCTCGAACTACGTCGTAAGAGGTTACTATTTATCCTTTGGAGACTGCGTTGTCACAGTTAAGATTAAGATGTTAAGATTACCAGAGCAAGCGCACTAGCCGCTGCAGCATAACAAAAACAAAAAAGTAACGAGAAAATGAACGTGCAAACATTTTCCGAACTTTGCAGGAAAGATGGGGTTCCCTTCTCAGACGAAAATAAAGGGTTGGCAGACGACAGAAAGATACTAATCACCCAGCAAAAAACTCCTTCAACAACGACGATCATTGCGGCGTTTATTAAAAAAAAAAAAAAAACAAAAAAAAAAAACGGAAAGCATGCATCACAAAAAAATGAAACTAACTTTTTCTTTTATTTTTGCAGTTTTAGCTTAATTTGAATGCTGCAGCAACTCAATTACTCACGTTTGTTCGGTCTTCGAGAAGCGGAAGATGGATTTTCTGACGCATCGCAAAAACTTGTTTTTGCACTGGTAGGCAGCACATGACAAGCTTGCCATCTCCAAGTATGCGCTGGTGTATGCCCGAAGGTGGCCGGTTGATCAACAAACGATGAAACTTAGCAGACGTTCCGGCGTAGACAAATAAAATTCGGATATAAATGTATAACGAGATTCCATTTTTTAATATATTTATTAAATACCAAAAAGCACATATGATGATTTCGCATAAGAAACTCAATTGAAGCGAAAGTAGTTATGGCAGACGACACTGGAAGAAAACAACAACAACAACAAAGTTCCAGACGGCCCTCAAAATGTCCGGGCGCAGCGTAGCAAACGGACTGGCGTTTGCAAGCGCCCAAGTGAAGGAAAGAGAGCAACAAATAAGTCAAACAAGCCAAAACAAAATACGGGATGGTTCGAGGAGCAAGTAAAGAAAAAGGAAAAAAATAAAATAAAAAGAAACAACAACATAAAAGCGGAAGAAAAAACGCGACGGCGTAGCGTCTTCTCAGAAAGAGAAAGAAAGATGAAAAATGCCAGGAGAAACAAAAAAACAAATTAGTCGTTTATACAGCAGGAGTTTAGTCTGCGAGAACATGGCGACATTGTTACCCACTGTAGATGAGCAATTCAGCCAGTGCGGTACAACCGCTAGCCTGGGGTCTTTAACGTGCACCACGCAGTAGTGATACACGACCGCACGCCGGTACGATGCTCATCCAGATCGAAACGGGCAGGGGTGGGGCTCGAACCCAGGATCCCTGGGTTCTGCAGCGCGAGCTTTCGCTCCACGCGCGTCGAGCTGGGTGCGCGCTTTAGCCCACTCGGCCACCGATCCCCCAATGCCAGGAGATGCTGACGGTCCAACGGGTGCCTGCTTTTACTGTAGAAGACGAAGAAGATGTTAATCGTCCCCGCGCTAACAATCAGAATTTGTGCACCGTATATAACGTGACCGAGATCACCTTTATTTGCACTACGACGCTCTCCTTGTTTTTTCTTTTGGTCGCGCAAGAAGTTTGCTTCTCTTGTAACTCCGCTTTTGCGTCAGATTTGCTTGTGCGCAATCGACTTCTTCCAGAGCATACTGACATCGCAATAACGTACGTGGCTCGAAATTTCCTTTTGCTTATTCATCCTATTCGCCTATTCGACAAGGCGGTTATAAGCAAGACATTCATGAGAAATGGGAACTGCAACAACGAAACGAATTGATTGATAAGAACAGTAAAGTTGAAACGTAGCTACGTTCTAAAATTGGTGTATATTGCCCTTTTTTTAAAAGAAAAGGCCAAAGGTACTTTCGTGTTTTGTCTCGTTTACATGAGTTGTGACAGAGTGTTTTCCTCAGGAGAACCCCAAAATTGCAACCTGAAAGCTCTAACATCTTTCCCACGCGAAGAAAATTACCTTCACTTATGAGGTGGCAACTATTTTTTAACATTCAAAGCAGCGAATACCCGAGACATTTTGTTTTCATTGGTCACCTCGCACGGAAATAGGCAAAACCAATCCGTTGCGGAGAATTCGTCTGCTAGCGGAGGCTCCGAGCCTGCCAGGGGCGCTGCGATCACTTTTCGCCCGCGCTCCGCGGGGCCCCTACTCTCGTCAAGCTTCGGGGTGTTCGCCGCTTGGGGCGGGTCGGGGATCTACTAACGAAACGTCATGCGCAGGCCTTGTCTTCTATACTCTGTTTCATACTTAGTGTGCAACGCTGTCAAAGCTACTGGCGCGAGCATGGGGCTTGATCTCGTTGATCTTTTGCACGCGTTCTCGCGCAAATAAAACCATAGATGAAGCCACGCGCTCGCGCCAGTAGCTTTGACAGCGTTGCACGCTAAGTATGAAACAGAGCATAGGTGGTATTGGCGGAGCTGAACGCAACGAGGCGTCGGAAACATGTGTCTCGAAATGTCATGCGCGGCCAGTCGGAGCAGCCATCTTTCCGACAGTTCGCACGTCGGATCGAGTAGCTTGTCACGCATGTCTTTCGTGCTTAAAGGTGAAGTCACTATCTGGCGCGATTATTGTAGCGCAGGAATACGCAAGGAGAAACACAACGCGTAAAAAAAAGCCGCATTTATTGTTACTGGCAGCTTATGAAAGGCAAGGAGTGGATCATTGCCCGATTGACTGCTGAGCGATAGTAATATAGCTCTGAACTTGTTGTTACTTTCCCTGTTAGTAACTAGCACTGCGAATATCTTTTCTTGACTCTCCACACGTTATGCTTTGATGTTCGTATATTTTCTTGCCGAAAGTGGGGTATGTAGCCTTATGTCAGATTTACCTCACAGTATCCCAGGCGCAAACTAGAAGGCGAATAAGTAAATACAATATTCGTTTTTCTAATGACTATGGTCATCGACAGATTAAGAAGAGCAGGTCGTGGCTCACTATGTTGACGCACCCTGCTTCGTGTTCTTTTTTTTTTTTTTTTCGTTGACGGTCTTTGTGGTCGGCGGTTTGATAATAAGGTGCTTGGTACTCACCAGGCCTCGCGATTCCTAAGCGCTCAGTGACTCTACAAGCTCCAAACATAGTGACACTTAATGTGTAGTTCTACGATATGAAAAAAAAAAAAGGTTTAGAAGAGTAAAATGTTTCTGGTCGATGCGTCTGGCCTCATAACTTATAAGCCGTCAGGGCCAATAATCGCGAAGACCTCTTTTAAAGTTCTCACCCTTCCGCCGGTTCAACTTGGCGTGCGCGCTTTGGCGTTGCCGCAGTTCCTCCGCTGATCAAGATCCACAACTGGGCCGTGGGAGCCAGCAACGGCAGCAGCGTGCAGCTCGAGTGCCTCGTCGAGGCCTTTCCCCGCGCAGTGAGCGCCTGGCTGTTCGGGGACCAGGGAGCGGCTCTGCAGGCGGGGCCACGGCACAGCCTCCGGGAAGAGGACGCGGGCCCGTTCGGGAGCCGCCTTCACCTCCGCATCTCGCCCGTGCTGCCGCAGGACTTTGGCATGTACAAGTGCGATAGCAGGAACGCCAGGGGACACGCCGCCGGAGTGCTGACTGTCTTCGGTGAGGCACGGAGACCCTAGGTCTCGTGGTAGCAGCTGGAGTCGTCAAATATGCTGCACTTCAGAGAAACGTCACGTGGGATAACTCATCTATTATGTCAGGCGGATATGCCCCTCACAGTCAATATCGGTCGTCGTTCTTCTGCTCGTGTCTCGAGCCAGCAGCTATGGTAGTCTGGGCGCGCAACAAGCGCACCTTTGATCTGTCTTCTTTGCATCGGAGAAAAGGCCTATTCAAACAGGGACGCTTGCTTACGTTTTTGCACACCTGTGCTTTGCATGTCGCGTGAGAAATTACACCTTCATTCGGTTGCTTTGTTTCATACAAACCACGGATACCCTCGTCACTCGCCATGTTAGCAGACTTAAGCTCTCATAACATAGCGCAACCTAAGGAAACTGCACCGTGTGAACGGGTCTTAAGCGGCTGCAGACGTTTCAGCTATCTCGATGTTTGCATCCATTGTCGCCAATTATTCGCACCTTTATCTAGAATCGCAGGAAACGCAATTTCATAAACTCGAACTCTTACAACAGTCCGCGACACAGCGTAACAGTATCGCCTGAGCTTCCTGGCCTATCATCTTAGGCGTGAGATGTCTCATATTCGAGCCGTAACGATCGCCAATTGCGCCGACTTTGCACTAAGCACCAAAGTGGCGGCGACCAGAAGGAAATCGGGCAGCGAAGCTCCGACGCTCGAAGCGAAGCCTATATTAGTGACTCTATTAGCTGCAACGTGCAGACATAGAGGAGGGTAGACAGGTCAGAAAATGGGACACAAAGATATTAAGCAAGGATATAGACCAACACGCGGTTTACAAACAATCCCGGAATTGCATAAACCAGCGCTGCGCGTGCGCAGGAACCATATTCCCGTGAGAGGAAGCGTCTGCGCATGCACAGTGCCGACAGCAGCGCCACCGCAGTAGCGTGACGTCAGAGAGTTGAGTTTGTGTATAGGGTGCCTGGAAGGAGTCTCCGACTGGAGTGTTTGCATCCACCTCAAAGATTGTTTTTTTTTTCCCGATACCCCAATCTCCTCCCAAGCAGCACGCGATTTGGCCAGTGGCTGGTGATTGTCTTTTGGCCAATGACCAAACAGTGGCCATTCATCGGCCAATCCTTGGAAGATGGCTGATGGCCGGTGGCCATTGGCCATTGGCAAATGGACAGAGAAAGGCCAGTCATCAACCAGTGACAGGCCACTGTCTGGCCACTGGCCAAAGCACCATTTCCTGCCACTCGCCAATGATTGACCGAATCTGTGCTGCTTGGGCTGTCTCTGAATGAACAAGAGACAGCAACGGGTAACTCTCGGTAGAAAAGGTTTATTAACTGACTCCCCTGCATGGGAGGTTTCGAGATAGGGAAGCGGTCATCGTGGAGCCATTGGAGAGGTGTGGCGCCACTGTATGCAGTCGATCGTTCCAGCAGTTCTTGTCCCCACCGCATCCTGGAGACATCGCCTCCGAGAGGTCGGGTCCGTGGTGAAGTCCAGACTATGTCACCGGGTGTTACCCGACGTAGCGGTAGCTACTACCAACACGCGTGTTCGTCGTCGCCCGGATCCCGTGTAAGAGTATCATCCTGGTGCTCCATTCTCCCTTTTTTTTTCAGCTTTCTCCCCATTGTTTCTGCAACAGCCGCACGCCAGACAGGCGGGTTCCTCTGTGTGCAGCCGCCGGTATCACCTGTTACGATTATGGTGGTGTCACAGCAGCAGAGGTGGATGCGTCAGATGCCAGTTCTGTTTTACGTCTCTCTGTTGCCGGGCAGTCGACGGAAACGACAGCAGCCGCGAAATGGGACCACGCGACGACAGCTAACCTCGCGTCCGCTTGCTCATTTTGCCAGCATTTGTAAGACCGAACGCCAGGATCGCGACATCCGACAGCGAGACACCCCGCTTACTGTAACGTCATTCGATGCCACCTTGGTACCATATTTCTTGCAAAATCTCTTGGGGGGATCGGTGGCCGAGTGGTCTAGCGCACACCAGCTCGGAGCACGTGGAGCGAAAGCTCGCGCTGCAGAACCCAGGGATCCTGGGTTCGAGCCCCACCCCTGCCCGTTTCGATCTGGATGAGCATCGTACCGGCGTGCGGTCGTGTATCACTACTGCGTGATGCACGTTAAAGACCCCAGGCTAGCGGCTGTGCCGCACTGGCTAAATTTCTCATCTACAGCTGGGAGACTCGTCGCCCCTGTGAGACAGACCAAGTTCTAGGCTGTATAAACACACACACAACCCAATTTTTGCAAAATCTCGATTGGACCCTAAACACTCCAGTAGGAGACGCGCTCCAGACATCTTATACGAGATTAGTAGTGTACGAACATCGGACACCGAAAGAGAAGAAGCAGAAGCTTGACGAGACGCAGCTCGTGGAAGAGCCTTTTCGCGCGATTCACCGTGGACGCTCGTGTGACCTTTGGTAGATGTATATATGTAAATAAAATGAGGGGTAAAGGCTTACCCCTCAACAGTATTGGTTCGCTGCTCTGTGCACGAGAGAGGGTATGGGGATTGGTTGAAGAAGCGAAGATGAACAGAGGAGACTCATTAGATGATATTCACTGGCAGCCCTAAGTGAACTCGCTGCTGCTCAGCACGTGTTGCCGGCAAGCTTCCGCAACGCTTTTAACTCACACATTGCACACCAACAGGATTCTCTTCTTTGGAATACCATAAATGAGAACTCATCCCGAACATGCGCTGTGAGCAGTCACCTTAAATGTGACGTCCATTGGATTCCCGCTATAGCTATGGTTCGTAAAAGAAATGCACGTGTACGCGCACCACTCCGCACATACCTAGGTTCTTCTAGGCGGAGAAGTTTAAAGCCGGGGTCACACTGCTCATACATCATGCAAAAGACACTCTGAATACTTATTCGAACGCGAGTCATCGCGTGATCCGTGCTTCGAATGCCGCATGGCAATGAGTTCAAGAGCAAAATTTAAAGCGCGGCATTCGGACCACGGATATTGCGGTGATTTTTGTTTGCAGACTGTCTTTTGTATGATGCATGAGCAGTGTGACCCCGGCTTTAGAAAACACGGCAGAGCCTTTATGACAGTAAATCCTGTTCACACATACAGCGGAGCGCTAAGTTAGCGCTACGAGAGCGCTCCAAGGAACGCTCATGTGGCGCTTCCTGGCGCGTGACTTAGTTCTAATATAGACCCGTTACACTCGGGAAGGTGGCGCGAGCGTGTCGGCAAGACGCGACCATGTTATGCTGGCAGGCAGCACCATCCAGGCGGAGCTGTAACGTTCGATTTTGCACGTGCCGCGTTCGAATGCAAGCATCTGTCAGCATCTGTAAACGTGCAATAACAAAACGTATAAAGAAATTAAAAGAAATAAAATAAAAAAGAATTACGCAGCTCGCGGCCTCAGCGTCCCACTAAACATTCCTTTCAGTTTTATTATTTCACTATTGCTTTCTTTCATAGCTTCCGTGAGCCCGTATGTTTCACTTTACGTAATAGCGAAGTTGAAGCTATTTGCAAAAGCATGTTCCCCTGAATGATGCTCGCGCTGTGCGAGGGCGCGTGCTTGTCAGGGTCATTGAAAGCTCGGAGCTCGCTCTAGACCTTTCCAGAAAAGGGCTGCTGGCCGGTTTCATTTTCAATGTTCGTGCGTATCGCGCGTGATCTGCTCGCTTTCCGAAGCGACGCACACGCGCGTGCTGAGCTGTGGAGATCGCACGCTGAGCTGTGGATTTGTAAACATTAGAAAGGTCTGTGATGCACGTTAAAGACCCCAGGCTAGCGGTTGTGCCGCACTGGCTAAATTGCTCATCTACAGCTGGGAGACTCGTCGCCCCTGCGAGGCAGACCAAGTTCTAGGCTGTATAAACACACACACAACCCAATTTTTTTTTTAGAAAGGTCTCTTGTAGCCTCCGCTATGGTGGCACTTATAAGATATAATAGAACGGAGTATATTAAAAAAAACTGTAGCGGGGAAGCGTAATGGCGCACGTTCGAAACGCGAGCCAAATATTCTATTTTGCTCGCCTGGAGTGCTGCTCAAAACTTGAGAGCAGAGTCGTTTATTGAGAGAGTTTGACCCAAGGTTACTAGAACACTCAGTTGGGAAACTCGCCGTCGAAACCTGGGCCGCTGGCGTCCACCGAGACCGAGCTAAATGCGACAACAGCGCCACTCTTTATCGTTTGTCTGTACTGTGGTCACCTTGAGCTTTTTGAAAGCCTGTTTTTGCGTAAAAACAAACAGAAAAGACTCTTTTTGTATGAACTTTTTTGGAGTTTAGTACAAAAAGAGGGGCGCGTTATGTTTTTAACATCTTTAGTTTGCAGGGTTTTGCGGCACAATTAATATTGTTTGTATACAACCATGCCTCAGCGGTCCTTTCAGGTAGCGCGTCCCGACCTAGGTGCATTTTAACTTCGGTAGGTCGGCGCGGCACGTCCGCCGGGGAGACCGGGGTGGCACCCCTGTAACCTCTACCGCTGTATCTGTTCTTAAGGCCAAAATAGAAGTCACGTGTAGTTCTTCGAGTGGCCGCTGCGGGAGAAATGGTGGCGTTGTGTTCGTCATTAGCTCGGTGCTCGGAGACAGATTGGGGCCACGTTTTCAAAGCTGTCACTAAGGGAGTTTCCCAACTGAGTGTTTTAGTAACGTTGGTTTGGCCATACATTGGTTTGAATAGGCGAGCATCTTGGGGCCAACCCACGGTGGGCCAACCATCGAGTTAATATAATATAGGCTAGAGGTTCAAATGGCGCTAGTGTGCTGCTGCAAATTGAAGCAGACAGCAACCAGTTCGAAATTGACTTCCGGTAATGCATTTCTATGGGAAAAAGCCAGTGCATTTTCTCGCTGCGCTTGATTACAAGAGCAAATATCACGAATATTTCGTATGTACTAGGCACATTGGAACATTTCTGTCACGCCGACGAAATAATTGGTCAGCTACGGCGTTTTTATTTGAAGGTCGTGGCATTAAAAGTGGTGCTAAAACCGCTT